GCAAAAATGTGAAAACATTACCATTCTTTACCTATTTGAGGAATTTTTTATTTTAAATGTCATTCGTGTTATCATGCAATGAGTTTATGAGTATTTTTAAACACGCAAATAAACATTTAATAATTTATGTTTTAATTTCTCTCGGGTGATCGTTAATAGATACAACCCACGTGAATAAAGTAGGACAGGCAAGTAAGGTTTGGGAGGTGTCTCTATATAGAGAGACAACTTTAAAATTCAGGTGCCATGTCCGCAAACTGGTTGTAGAAATACAGATGTGGTTCCTCCATGCTTCTTTAGCTCTGTTTTTAATTCTTTCATTGGGTTCATCACTGTTATTTGTGATCTTATCACCTCAACTAAATTATGAAGTCCTACAGAAAAAGGTTATGTGTTTCATCTTTGAGCTCTCTGACTTTATCAGCAGGAATTCCTTAGGGATTACTCTTTGTAATGAAAATTAAATAGCACTAGTTAGCAAAGTCACCATTTAGGTATGCTTATATTTGGGTTTTAATTTTATTACTTAATAAGACCTTTAAATTGTTGACCATGGCATTTATTGACTTAGACCTAAGCAGCTGAATCCTTTGAAAGTATTTCCCTCCAATTAAATTTTGCTAATTTCATATTTATTTAAAGTAATGAACTCTTTTATTAAACTTCAATTGTATTATGTGCTTTTATAGCCATGTGAATAATCAGGATTTAGAAATATACATTGTTAAATGATGTAATAATTTATTGATACATATTATTGAAATGCTCTAGGATTTCAAAATTTTAATAAATATTGATTATTTTTATGTAACATTGACAGGTTTTAAACTAATAAAAACATTTTTATTTTGAAAATTTAAAAATATTTTAAAAGTTGTTTTCATCTAAGAAAATACAAAATTCCTTCCTGGGTGGTAAATCTCCATGATACTGAGAGGGAAAAGTGAGGGTAGGAGATTCAGATATATTAGATCTTGACCTAAATTGTTGTGATTCACAATACTTTTTAAAAATGTATTTTGAATTAAACAAAAGCAGTTCTGGAGATATACAAACTTCTTAAAAAAAAACTTCTGGTATGATTTTATTACATTTTATAATTTAGTGTAACACTTGAATGTCCTAACCAAGACAACGTGAGAAGCAGAATTTTATCCCCCTCTTAAGTATTTTGCTTTCCTGGCATCTCTTTAATGTCTTAGAGCACAGACTGAAGTGCATAGCATCACACTACTGATCAGCAACAAAGAGTCTTGCACTATTCTGGAAACCAATGTAACAACGTCTATTTGAAAAGGTTGTCTGCATTTCCAAATGTAAATTTTACAGAAGAGCAAACACGGTGTTCAAACTACATCATCTGACAGATTGCCTATGGCACAGAAGTTAGAAAATCCCCAGTGATTGCTGCATTTTGCTAAGCTATCCATTAATTTGTTTTGCTGATTTTTGCTATGAAAGGACAAAAAAGATGGGACCCACAATATCTGTTCTAATATTCCTTTATATTAATAAATAAAATATTCAGGAATGGCCCTTGAGCAGAATAATAAATGCTTTTATGATATTGTTTTGTACAACTAGATGTTACACATGATGTAGCTTAGATAGTGTAAGGCTCACTTGCCATAAATTGCATGAATTCTTGGACAACACATAATCTTCATTGCTTTTAGACTCTACTTAATTCTGGCAAGATCCTTTGTTTAGCCAAAATTAATAAAACTTGAGAAAAATAACTCTTTTTCAAATATAACTTCAGCGTGCTCTGTTAGAATAAAATTCAGCTTAAATATTATGTGAGTCACTTATCAAATCATTTAAAAATTCAAGAGTTTAACTTTATTTGAGAATATGCTTTACGTACTTTAAATATAACATGTGAATCATTTTTCCAAAAGAAGCATTCTCATCTTTCTCTCCAAGGTATAAATCCTCAGAAACTGTAAGATAATGGTGTCTAATTTTTCTTTCCTGGAAGAGGAAATGAGTATTTTCAGATTCTTAGGTATGTAAATAGATGTAAAAAGTATATATAATATATGTATGTGTACAAGTATTTGTATATATGCATAAATATGAAGCAAATGTTTTGTAGGTTATTTTGCTTAAAATCACTTATCTTACCAATTTTAATTTTGCATGTTAATCTTAATGAGATAATTATAAGAGAAAAACAAATATCAAAAAAGGAATATATTAAAATTAGCTTCTCATCATTGTGACAGAACTGTAAATTCATTGTAACAAGGAATAAAAGGGCTCCTGTGGACAGCTTACACAGCAACCCTGAGTAGTGGGTTTGTTATTTTATGAAGCTGAAAGTCTAGGTCACCACAGATTTTAGAAGGGAATGTGACAGCTAACACCAGGCTCTTTAAAAAGTATCTACATAGTTTTACTTTACAGACATTATTTTATATGACATGGGTACAACTTTTGGTCATGAATTGATACTTCTTTTAACTATTTTGATACTATCATGTCTTCATCAACAACAAAGGTATCATCTTCAAAAATGGAAGACTAAAATTTTAAAAAATACATGAAATATATCTGTATATTTTTCTCCACCTAGAACACTAGTTGATGACCAATGGTGCTTCTAGGATGGCTTTGCAAGTCATGAATGGAATTAAGTCTTTTCCCTTCAACAAAATCCTTCATTTACAGTTAGAGCATGTGCCCTAGCATAACAAGCCCTGAACATGGATCAAGCAAGTCAAAACTGGTACCCTTGTCAAAGACAAGGGAAATGCCAATTCCTGCCCATGCTAGCCATCCTCTCCCACCTCAGGCGGGGAGGACTGAGAAACACTTTTGAAATCCAAAACCCAGACTTTACCCTAGGGCTAGAGAATGCTTCCCCTCCCACCACACCTCATCACCGCGCCACTAGGGGCCTCGTTATAGCAATTCCTTTTTACCCAACACATCATGTCTGGCTATAGAGAAAAAAATTACAGGAAAGGAGAAAAAGTAGAACCATATAAAATGCACAATTAAAATAGTAAAATGCAGAAAAAGAGTAGAAGGCAAAATAGGAAGAAAGAGCAAGGGCAGCAAACAAAACGGTAACAAATACGGTAGATATTAATACAGCTGTATCAATGATCACTTTGAACATCAATGGTCTAAAAAGACAGAGATTGTCAGAGTGGATCCAAAAACAGGATCCAACTACATGTTTTCAAAAAGAAACCCACCTTAGGGGTGCCAGGGTGGCTCAGTCATTAAGTGTCTGCCTTCGGCCCAGGTCATGATCCCAGGGTCCTGGGATTGAGCCCCACATCGGGCTCCCTGCTCAGCGGGAAGCCTGCTTCTCCCTCTCCCACTCCTCCTGCTTATGTTCCATCTCTCACTGTGTCTCTCTCTGTCAAATAAATAAATAAAATCTTAAAAAAAAAGAAAATAAATAAAAATAAAATAAAAAAAATAAAAATTCATTAAAAATATAACACTAATAATTTAAAAAGGGGGTAGAACACTACATCAAAAACTAATGATGTAATGTATGGTGATTAACATAACACAATAAAATAAAAAAATAAACAGGGGATAGCTATTTTAATTTCAGACAAGACTTCAAAGCAAGGAAGGTTATCAGGGATAAAGAAAGCCATTACATATTGATAAATTGGTCAATCCTACAAGAAGGCATAACAATTTTTAGTGTGTGTGCACCTAACAGAGCATCAAACAATGTGAGTCAAAAATTGGTAGAACTACAAAGAGAAATAGTTGCATCCATTATCAGAGTTGGAGTCTTCTATACCCCTCTTTCACAAATGGACAGATCCAGGAGGCAGAAAATCAGTAAGGACATTGTTGAACTCAACAGCACCATCAGTCGACTGGATATAATGTACATGTATAGACAAAGTCAACAAACACATTCTTCCAGCTCTCATGGAACATTCACCAAGATACACCACATTCTGGGCCACTAAACATATCTACACAAATATAAAAGAATAGAAATGGTACAATATCTGCAATCAGTCCACAATGGAACTGGAAATCAATAATGGTATGATAGCGGGAAAATCCCCAAATGTGTGGAGATTAAACAATATACTTTTAATCAGTACATGGGTCCAAGAAGAAACCTCAAGAGAGATTTTTAAATATTTGAACTAAGTGAAAATGAGAATGAACCTGTCAAATCTTTTGTGTTAGAAGAAATAGCATTCAGCATGTTGACAAGTAGATTAAAAAAAATGTCATGTTATTATTGCAGTGGGTTTGCAGAGTAGTTGAGAGAGTAGACATTTGTCCATTTCTCTGGACTGTGGAGAAAAAGAAAAGGGGCACAAGTTGTAGCAGAAGAACTTGTGCCCATAGACAGTTTGGAGCTAGAATAAGGAAGTTTATTAAATATTTATTAATTGCCAAACAAATAAAGTATTGCTAACCTGGGTGCATGAATCATGGATGGGCCTTGGTGAGAGAACGGGGTGAGGTAGTAGTGGGTACATGGGCTTATGAACGCCATGTGCATTTTTCTGGGAAGCAGGTCCATTGCTTATATTTATGACCTCTAATTTTGAGGTCACTTCTTCTGCCAGTTGACCGGTATCAGTTGCTTTGTGACTCTCGTCCCACCAGGAACTTGCACAATGGATGAGAGTTAGGAGAAAAGAGAGATATTAAACCCAATGAGTATTTAACAAAAATGTATTGAGAATCTTGTGTGTATCACATCTGCTCTTGTTGGCAGAAGATACAATTTTCATAAAAACACAGAGTCCTTGCTTTCATGGAGTTATTCTACATAATTTTTAGAATATTTCAAAATTCAGCAAACAAGGACCAACATTGAGGGCAGAGGAGAAGACATGCTTGTTCTGTTCTCCATCATTTTTGGCTACAGTTAATTGGAAAAGGGTATAAATATGCAGTGGAAAGTGGCTTAAGAGAGTAGTAACTGATCATTTTGTTTCACCACTCCCGTATACAGCGTCTCCTGTACACTAAGTGAAAAATATTTTTCTTTCAAGGTAACGGAACTGCACAACATCAAAAATATAACCAGACTGCCTCGAGAGACAAAGAAGCATGCAGTGGCAATTATCTTTCATGATGAAACGTCAAAGACATTTGCCTGTGAGTCAGGTAAGCAATTATAGCCCCATCTACAGCTTGTGGAAATTGAACTGCTTCAGAGACAATGGCCCAGATGGATTAAGTTATACCACTGAATAGGAAGGCTTATTGTGATAAGACTGTGCTGTGGAAAACTTTAGGGAGAAGCTCAACATGTTGATTTCTACAGATGTTTTGGGTGCTTTTTTATTATCCGTCTGTGTCTGGATTTTGCTCCCAGGTGGTCTGAGGACTCTTGAGGTTTCTATTCAAGCTTGAAAAATTAAGTAAACAGTGCCTGGGAGATGTTGTTAGGGCAAGCTTGTGACTTGTATTCTGGTTCCTGCCGGGTGCAGCTGTAAGCATTTGGTGGGAAAATAATAACGCTGCCATGCAAAAGTGTGGGGCAAAGCACAGCTGAAGTCCCCAGACATTCCAAAGCTGAACTTTGAGCAATTGGTTGCTTTCATGGATTCTTAGTACTACAGGTAAATACATTTCAGATTGAATTTTAGCATCCCAACTCATAAAACACTCTGACATCGTTGAGACACACGGCAGTTTATAGTTTGAACCTGTAGTATTTTTCATTTTGAAATCCCTGTGCTATGCAACGTATTAGTTGGCTTATTATAGCTTTTTAAAGATTTTGCTCAACGAAATGGCGCATTCGTTTTATAATGGATGGAAGCAAGAAGCACCAAGGGTTCGAAAGAAGTGAATTTAAAATTATAGTGAAGTCCTTAGTAGAAGTCTTACTATTTTTTTTGAGGAAATAAAGCTTCTGGATTTATAGTTAAAGTTTATAGGTATAATTAATATCAAGTTCTATTATTCTAAAATTGATAATGTCACCTTGCCTAAATAAAATTGTTCACACCTCCTCACCTACACTTTTCTTAGTTTTGCTAAACTGAATTGCAATTTATCAACATGTTTTTCCTGGGATGCCTTTAATCCCTTTTGCCATACTTCCCTTCACTCATCATCTGGCTTCATTTCATCATTTAAAATTGACTTTTGGCATTGCATAGAAGTCTGTTAACTGGTGATATCAACTCCATTTCGCAATAGAACCTGTCCCAACCTCGCTGGTATCATTTATTAACATCCAAAAATATTTGTGCCTTCTTGTTCACTGTCTTAAAACTGTCTCACCACTTCACTTTGCTCTGAGCTCTAAGATAATGTCTCATATTAAAACTAACAACCAGAAAATTGGTTTGCCAAAAAAGATAAAAGATAATTTTCACTATTGTTTGTATGCTTCAATTTTCACCACTGCCCTACAGTTTTGAAATTATATTGAGCCATGTTGTGGGTACAAATGCAATACTCAAGTCTGTTACTTCAGATAAGAATGATATTGAATTATGTTTCTGAAATTCAGACACAGAGTTGTACCCCGTAAGTCTAACATTGGAAGGTTTTTAAGATTATAAGATTATTTTCATTTTTTTTTGTGGTGGTGGTGGCTTCATGGGTCATGTAAGATTTTGGAGAAACAAAGGCTCCTTCCCTAAAACAAAATGGCCTTAATTTTCAAGAGAAGAATTTCCAGACAGTGAGGCTGAAACTAGATCCAAATGTAAAATAAAAGAACATGTTTATTTGAATTCCTAGCAAAGAGTTTCAACTCATTTGGATTATGACTTATTCAAATTATTGGTGTTTTAAATCACTTTTGTGTATGTAGATATAGCAGTATGCTTGAAGCTAGTAGTAAAAGTGCTTAAGAAACAATGGCACGATTTTATTAAATTTTCTTAACTTCATGGCATATGACAATAGAAAAAAAGAAAGGACTTGAAACACATAAACAGGGAATTTGAGTACTTCTGGCAAATTATATTTTTAGATCTATATTAAGATCAATAGTCCATGTCTGCTGATAAAATGGCAAAATCATTTGGAAAAAAGACTCCAACTGTAAAGCAGTCACAGATGTGAAAATCAAAACAGCGATACGGTTAGAGCAAAATTAAAAGGAACTCTCACATTTAAATGTGAATGCAGATCAAAGTGTATTCTCATGATGGCTAGTGAGTATGCAAATTGCCTCAATTTTTTTTTAAAAATTTTATTTATGGGGCGCCTGGGTGGCTCAGTTGGTTAACCGACTGCCTTCGGCCCAGGTCATGATCCTGGAGTCC